TAGGGAAGTCAGTAACTGTCTTGGCTATTTATGGCGACACGAGGTGGCCTTCACCGTCCTGAGAATTCTCTTTCCACCTTGCCGAGGCCATTCCTCAGACCGGCCCCACAGTGTGAGATACCCTGAGAGCTGCACCCCGAGTGCCTTTTCCTGAACTTCTTTTCCATCCCAGAAGGAGAATGGACAGAGTCACAAAGGTAAATCATCTTGATTAAAATTTTTTAGTAGCAACTTTGCCAACTCAAGTTTTAAGTCATGAGATAGAATTCCACAGACTTGGAAAATGGGGCCTTTAAAAGCCTTAATATTTATGAAGTACTCATTTTTATCTGTGATTCCTTGAGGCCCACTTTTCAGGAAGGCCGCTATTTTTAGCTTCATCTCGCATGTCGGGTCACTGAGACGTGGACAAGTGCGGAGAATCTCAGCACGGTGCCAACGTAACTGCAGCAGCACAGTTACGAGGCAGCCTAGGGGGTGGGGAAAGGTCGATTTTAGTGTCTTCCACCTTCACCTCGAACCAGTCTAATGGGGTCTTATCTCAGTAGCAGTATGGAGTGCCCATTCTCATAAAGCTTTTCCATTTTTTACATTCAAAGTAGGAATTCCACTCTTAATTTTTTAGTATAAGATGGTTTTCCACGATTAGTGATATTTACCAGAACTGTTCAGTTTTCAGAAAGGTGAGAAAAACTTTAGTTAACATGAAACTGGTGCCCAGAGTTGGGGTTCTTTGCCTGGGTCTCGTCTTTGGTACTGCATTGCGAAAACCGCTTGGAGTATTCTGTTGGAAAGTGTGTGATGTGCGTCGTGCCTCGGTGACTGTTGACGCATCACCCTCAGTTCCCAGCAGGTGGCGTTTTACTACGAGAAATAGCACGTTTACTCTTTTCAGAGCAGAGTGACCTTAGCGAGGATTCAAAACTTCTTGCCCTTGTTTCCCCATGTTTCTTTATAGAGAATTAAAGTTTTCTAAAGAAAGGGGGCGTTAGGAAGTGGTTTAGCTCTTGCTTTCCGGGTTGCTGACAAATGAGCAGTGCTTTAGCTTTGACACGCGGGAGCCTTTAGGAGCTTCAGAGGAGGAGTTCGCATGTTTGTTTTCGTCCTTTGTAGCCTTTGATATCCCCAGCCCAACAGTTCTGAATTCTGGTTGTCAGCCGTGCAGCCCCTCCTGGAGCTCAGTGGGGACAGGCCCAGCTGGCCCTTCACGGAGGAGCAGAGGTACAGCTGTGGCCTTCTGGGGTCAGCATGGAGTGTTCCGAGGGTCTCCAGGCTGCAGCCTTGGAGCTCTCTGAGGTCACTGTGCCCCCAGCACAGTTCTGTCCATCCAAGGATACGTCCCAGGAGGTCTCTTCAGCCCCCCAGGCCTGCTCCCTGCGGCGTTGGTCCAGCCCCCGGGCCCTGGCCGGCTTGGGTCCCGTGCCAGCTTTCTCATAGCCAGCATGTTGGGCGTCATAAACTGGGCCTGGCGTGTGGGTCTTGCTCTGCGGCTCCTGGCAGTGACCTCGGCCCCGCTGCTTTTGTTCTGCTGCTGCCTGGCAGACTGCCTCAGGCTTAGAGGCATAAAAAGGTGTCCATTCCTCTTCTTTCTCCTCCTCCTCCTCCTCCTCATCGTCATCATCATCATCGACTTGCATGGCGTGGGAACTCCGGCTCAGTTAGGCAGTTCTCCCTTGGGGTGTCCCGTGGGTGCAGTCGGAGCTGGGTGGGGCCGTCTCCACGGCTTCCTGACCCACGTGCACAAGTCTGGTTGTCAACTGGGTTCTCAGCAAAGGCCCTTGACTAGAACGCCTGTGTGGACTCTCCTGGGTTCCCAGGGTGAATGTCCGCAGAGAGAGCCATCGGAAGCTGTGTCACCTTTTCTAACCCAGCCTCTGAAGGAACTCATTGTCGTCTCTGCTGCATTCTGTTCGCTAGAAGCCGATTCCTAAGGCCCAGCCCCCATTCAGAGGAGGAGGATTACATCCCGAACCCTCCGGATGGGAGGGTGTCAGAGACTTTGCAGTCACATTTTAAAGCCACCACCCCACCCGCATACTTTGGGTCCCAGAAAACTGCCTTCGTTCTGGACTCGGTCTCCTTAGTCCCTTTTCAGATTTGGTCGCTGGACTCCATGACGCTGGGTAAGGGATTGTGGCGAGAATCTTCTGCCCAGTTCCTGGCTTCCTGCCAGCCCCTGTCACCCCAGCGTACCCTGAAGTTTCTGAGGATAACTGTCTGCCAGGAACAGTTACGTCTCTGATAAGTGGCCCAATTTTGCAGACAAAATAAACATGGGAGGAGAAGTACAAATAGAAGAGCCTGTGTTTTTCTACAGACCTTTCATTTGAATTTCAGCAAGGAGACCAAGGTTTTCAAGCCTTTTTTAAGTTTTATTTTGAGTTTTCTTAGGATAGCCAAGCAGGAGTGAGTCTGGCAGACACACTGTGTGTCTGTGCCCGAGGAAACCCCCGCACTGCTGCGTTGCCATGGAGATTAGAGGTTTGCACCGCAGAGCACTTGGGACTGGGGCCCTTGCCCAGTGTCACGATAGCCAGCTGTCACCACTTTGTCCCTTCCTCCTGCAACTACAGTTGTAATGACCACAAGGCACAGAGTCGCCACCAATTTAATTTGATGGTAGATGCAGGTGTTTTTTTTAACTGAATGGTTGGGTAATATCATTATTCTATGTGTCTCGATAGGAAGGTTTCGTGGATAAAGTGGGACTTCCATAAGCTTTTGAGGAGGGCAGGAAAAGTGCGCGGAGTGGGAAGTTCTTACGTGAAAAAATGGTACTAGAATAAAAACAGGTTGGCAATACAGCATGTTAGATTATTATTCTCACCTAGCCGTTTAAAAAAAAGAAACAGAAATAGTATCTTTTAGCATTTCTGGCGTTAATTGACTTGGCCCCATCAGAAAATGAGCAACTGATGACTTTTCTAGAGTTTAGAGCCCTAAATCGTATTTTTAAAAATGATGACCTATATTTATGGTTATAAATCATAATTTTTCTTCATTAGAATTTGTGGATTAGCAAAACGCCCAAAAGTTGATTTCTATCTGAATATAAAGAAGAAAGAGTCGATCCTATTGTGAAGATAGAGTGGTTTTTATACTAGGTTAGAAAAACAATTCCGTATTTTAAAATGTACCATTTTGTCTTGAGCAACCAAGGGGTCACTGAAATTAAATCTCATCTATTTAAAAAAGAAAAAAAAAAAAGCAATGCACCTAAAAGAAGGAGAGTTATGGAGGGGGAGCCTGCATGTCGCTGTGTCCCTGCCTCTCTGTGCGCTGGAGTGACAGAGCTTTCTGTGACCCTCCCTGCTGTTCTTTCAGTCGTACGTGTCTCTCGTTTAAAACTTGGGGTGCAGTTCTTTGGACTTGTGAAATATGAAGAATCTCAGTAAATCTCACTGCCATGACTAAGCTCCTTAAAATAACATCTCCGTTAAAAGTTGAGATCTCCCAAGGCTTCTTGGCTTAGAAGCTCCTGTCTCATAAAACGTCTTACTGGAGAAAAAAAGAGTCCCAGTTCTGTTTCATGCTCAGAAATAAAGTTTGTATTTTGAGCTGTGACTCAAAAGCTTACAGTAACGGTCAGTTCCTGTTTGTAGCCAGCCGAGGTGTCTCCAAGGTGATGTCGGGAGAGCAGGCTGTCGTGCTAAGTGGTGTGTCTGAAACGGCCGTAAACGTCTCAGCCGCGTTCCCTGCTGCCCTGCTGGCAGCTCCCTCAGCCGTAGAGTAATACTTTGAAACTGTTGTCAATACCAGTTCTGAGTTCCCAAGGCAGAAGTTCCACAAATAGCCCCTTATACTTAGTTCACTGTCCAGCGAGTTTCTGAGGGGAAGAGTTCCTCTGTGAGCCCTTTAGAGAGGGACTGCTTTGGTGACATTGGCGTTACCGATTTGGGAATCATTTGACCCAGCTGATGGGTCTTGGTACTTTATTCTTTATCTGCCGCTTGGGACATGCTGAGAAAGTTCACTTAATACTTATCACCACAAAATGAGATTATCAGTATTCTGTAGAATTTTCATTGTTAGAAGTTCTAGTTTATATAATGTTGAATTTTGTACATACAAAAAAGCTTTCCTAATGCCCAGTGTAGGGAGAAGGCAGTGATTCCCTTTCCCTAATCATGTTTAAGAAGTTTGAGAAACGTTTTCTGGGGATGTTCTCCAGAAGTTCAAGTGCTGGATGTAAATTTGTACAAATTCCTTTTTAAAGTTATCTTTCAATACTGAGATTTCATGGATGCTAAATAATAATAGTAAATAATAATAATAGTTTGTTATTGTGTGATATTTAGGTTTTTAAGAGTTAAAATATTTTACTTCTGCACATCAGTAAAAAACAAAAGTTTTTGAAATACAGCGTGAGTGTGGGTGATCCTCCTGGCTGTTTAGGACACAAATTAGGAGGAATGGACAACTGAGGACAGTGGCTTTTAAACGTGTGGCATGTGTCAGCCACTGGGGGAGCTTGTTG